TCATCTAGGTTGTATTTCCCTAGTTTGTGTATGAGAAGATCATGGGAGACAAAATCAAAAGCCTTACTAAAGTCAAGATATACCACATCTACTGCTTCCCCCCATCCATAAGGCTTGTTACCTGGTCAAATAAAGCTATTAGGTTAATTTGACATGATTTATTCTTGACAAATCCATGCTGACTGTTACTTACCACCTTATTATCTTTTAGATGTTCACATCCTTCCACAATACAATGGCCATGGGAACTTTTGTAATACCTGAGGCAAATTACATCTGCATTAAAGGAAGAGGGAAGCTGGCGGAAATTGCATTTTTTGATAAATGAATCCTTCCCTAATCTATATATGTTCTTAATATGCCCTCCTCACTATAGTATCCTCAGAAACATTCATGCAACCCTGTCACACATGGTTCATTCTCTCTCTCGTCCTCTCCCCATAGGGACAATTATGTGTACAGTGGACTGTTTTGTTTTGGTTGGAGTTTATTTGTTTTAAAAGTAATGTTCCTATGTGTTTAAGTTAGAGAAGGCAAGGTCAAAGAAGCATGGCTTGCATTTGGAGTAAAAGGTGGTGACATTTCTGACAGTCATTAGTTCTCTGCAGTACTCTTGCCACCCCTTAACATAGGTTGTGTCCTTGTGGACAATCTAATACAAAGGTTGCAAGCAAGCAAGCCACTGAAGGATCTATTCCCATGCTACCTCAATTTGGCATTATGTGCATTTGTTGAGGGGAGCAGTGATTGTGCCACCCTTACTCATATTGAGTAGTAACTTACTCCACAAGTTCTCCCATTGAAATCTGTGAGAGATACCGCTTAATCAGGCCTCAAGTGTTTTCTGTAAATGAATTAGACATATCCAGAGGAGAAAGATGGGAGTTAAATTAATCTCACTTCCTTCAGTGGACCCTCAATGAATTTGTCCCAAGAAGTGAAGATAACTGCTAGTGTTGTTCTAATCAGAAAGGGGCTAAGCAGGCTTGCTGCTTTGTATATAGTACCTGCCTCTTCAATCATAGCTGCCTAGCTTTATTAACAAACAATTTTTTCCTTCAGTACCACCACATAGAGCTGCTATGGCTGGGAAAGAGCAGCTTTTGCGCAGCAATGCCTCATGCATAATTAACAGAGTTCTCAACTCTAACTGATCCCCTTCCCAGAACCTTTATGGCTGATAACAGAGAAAATAGCAGTTGGTTTCACCAAGTGGGTGGTGATATGTTGGCATTTATCAGATATTCTCAGTTTAAGTCAAGCTAGGATTTCTGTGATAATGATGGAGATGATATATGAGACTGTGATATCATTTTTATCACTTAATTTCAAATTCACATACTTGAAGTTCTATATTGTAATATTTAGGTCTGTAAATTGGGCTAACTTTTTGACAGCATTGTCACTCAACAAATTATTTGAGCCTAGTATCATTTGGACATCATAAAATGACTTTAAATTGCTGCAATATCCAAGGCAGAGCCAATTCACTATAATGGAGAATTCAGTCCACTTTCCTGTGGCTATCCCAGCAAAGCCACTCTTGTAAGATCATTTAGTGGTAAATATGGATTATTTTCTTCCATATTTTAAAATTGATTCTCCATGTTCTTTTACTATGTATTCAATTACTCATTTATACCTGAGTAATTCAATTTGCTCTCATTTATAATGGAATAGCTCTGTTGAGATAAGTGAGATTGGAATCAGGCCCTTAATCTGCTTACAAAACCCTCACAATTTAATGTCCAGTGGTGCAAAAAGGAGAATATCAAATTAAGCTTAAACTTTTTTTTCTGAAGTTATTGGCAATGTGGATGGTTTATTCAGATGCTCAGAAACACAGTCCACAAAGAGAGAAAACTGCCACAGGGATGTTCTGAGAAAATTAGTTCTATTAAAAGTTCAGCTATCGAATGGATGCAACTTCGAAGCTTTTTATATTTGATTAATGACTACAATATTTAAATAATAAATGCAATAAAATAATAGGGAACCATCATTTGCATTAAGAAAGAAAAATGAACTGAGCAGTGATTAGAGATTTGCGTAGAAAATATGTTGCTTGGCTTTTGCTTGATTGGTTCTTTTATCATGAATGGCCTGCTTGCTAGTTTGGGCAACTCTCGGTAGTGCATCGTCTTTGTGTGCACTCAGCAGAGAACAACAGTTGCAATATGTAAATAGGGTACTTCTTCCCTTTTGGATATATATAATAGATTAAGTTGGCTTTGTTCAGTGCAAACAGGTCTGTAGTACTGAGAATATGAATAATGTCAGTTTCCATAATTGCTAACATCTGGCTTTCCATAAATCTGTTAAATTGCATGGAAGCAGAATTAGATTTCTGTGTCATAAGTAAAGCAATTACATGGAACTCTGTAGGCAATATGGCTCTATATTCATCTGTGAAATCCTTTTAGTTTTGAACAGTAAAAGCTACTCTTCTAATCTGCACTCTAATCCTGCTGCATATTATATATATATATATATGCTATTCAGGGAGGTCTTAACATTGTGGGGAAGAAAATATTGACAATGCTTGCATCTATTAAATGTGAAATCACCAAAGGCAAAGAGTATGTCACGTTTGTTTTCAAGACAAAATACAAGGTCAAGCACTGAAGAGACAAGTAGAAGAGAGGTTTTTTTCAAGAATGCTCTTAGACTCATTGTAGCTAATTGGTTATTGTCTTCCACTGAAATCACTGATTCAGTATCAGCTTATTCATGGCCCAATTTATGTCACAATTTGTTTTTGTTTTTTTTCTTGTCCTTTTGTCTTTTTCTTTTCCTGGTACTCTGTCACCTGAGAAGTAATGGGACACAAGATTTGTTTTTCATTCATAAAGCCCCTTTTCCATCACCTGTAGTGGCTCTTCCAGCTGATGTCCTTTTATTATATGAAGATTGGGGAGAACACTAAGGGGGGTAAGGGTGGGTACATGGAGATACTCCCCCAAAAAAGTCAAATTATAACTAGTTGCTTTGTCAGAGATAAGGCAGCAAAATAAATCAGTGCCAGGGAAGTCTGAATTGTGCCATTAGGAACACTGCTGAGCAAGAAGAACAGGAGTACTTGTGGCACCTTAGAGACTAACAAATTTATTGAGCTTAAGCTTTCATGGGCTAAAATCGGATGCAGGCAGTGGAAAATACAGTAGAAAGATATATAGATATAGATATAGATAGATATATATACACACACACACACACACACACAAAGAGAACATGAAAAAATGGGTGTTGCCATACCAGGCTATGTCTACACTACACAGCTTTTAGCGACATGGTTGTGTCGCTAAAGCTGCTAGAAATCGTGCAGTGTAGCTGCTGTTTGTCGGCTCTCCTGCCACCAAAAAACTTCCACCCCCAAAGAGCGGCGTTTGCATTGTCGGCAGGAGAGCGCTCCAGCCAACAGAGCACTGTTCACGCTGGCACTTGTCACCGGAAAAACTTTTGCCTTCAGGGGTGGGGTGGGGGTTAACACCTCTGAACGACAAAAGTTTTATTGTTCAATTGCCAGTGTAGACATAGCCTTAGAGACACCCCTCTGAGGCATGACTCACTCTCTGCTTCACCTTTTTTATCTTCACAACGCCCCTATGACGTAGGAAAGGACTACTTAGAGATGGGGACCAGAAGGTCTAACTGACTTGCCCAAGGTCACAAAGGAAGTCTGTGGCAGAGCAGAGAATTGAACCCAGTCTGCCAAATCCTAGGCTAGTTTCCTAACCACTAGATCACTGTTCCTCTCTGGGGAAGGTTTTACTCAAAAGAAAACCAGGTTGATGTAGGAAGTACTGTTGGCGATGGAGTAGATAGTCTAATTTCTGAGTTAGACCTAGCTCTGTCCCCTTTGTGTTTGAGAGGATACCATGCTTATAGAAATGTTTCTTTGGGATAAAATGTAAACCAGGGTTCTGACTACTTGTGGAGATCATTAAAGATCAGATGGTACTTGCCACAGAATTATCTTCATTAGCTCTATTATCCTGGCCAAATTCTAGATTAGGTTATATTTTCATATTTACGTGTGTGTGTATATATATATATATATACACACCCATAAAATGTATTTCATATGTATATGTATATAAAATGCTTCATCTCATCCAAATCCAAAACTTTGTGCTGCAATGTGGTTAAGCTTTTGGCAGTTATATACAGTATGAAAACAGGGGTAATCTATTCAATTGCATTTTAGCTGGAAATTCTGTCCATATCTTCTTAAATACTGCTCGAAAGATCTGCTGGAGAAACATGCCTATTTTCCAGATTGCACTTAACTCAAAGATCTCATAGCCTTGTCTCCAAGAGATCTCCTGGCCACATTCCAACTTGGAATAATTACATTCTGTCTATCAGCATGTCCCCAGCAATTTCAATTGGATACAATATTTCACTTCTCCTCCAGCATTAAGTGGTTTGGTAGTTTAAAGTCATCTATGAAAAATAGGTGCTTTCTCCAGATTTTGTTTATGCTAAATTCCCTGGTGCCTTCCTCAAACTTGCTTTTACCGCGTGGCTTTGTATACCTTGGGAGCTCTAGGATTTCTTTTCTATATAAAGTACCTTTGATTTCTTTCCTTTTATTCCCTTCCTCCTCCTCTTCAGTGGGTAAAGACTGTGATTGATTGCCTTTAGTAGGGGGAAGCTTAGATCATGCTCGGAGCTTATGAAGAATTGTGTCTTTCTAATTCAGTCTAAAACTCAGAACAGAATGTGGCCTAATTGCAGAGTCACTCTAATTGTCCACTTGCTCCTGATCACTGGGAGATCACTTTACACCTTGCCTGGCTGATGAAGTTTGTCATTGCTATTTAGCCCCAGTAGGAATGTCAGCTTTTACAATTAAGCATACGGTACAGGTGAAATTCTGTGTTTCATACTCTCGCACCACCAAGACAGACAAGCAGTATCTATTCAATAACAAATTCCATGGTACAATTTCTCACTTGAAACCAAGATTAGCACTATAAACTGGCTGTGTTTTGCAGATATTGATGAATGTGCCTTAAGGACCCACACCTGTTGGAACGATTCAGCCTGTGTGAACTTGGAGGGAGGTTTTGACTGTCTGTGTCCCTCAGGACCATCTTGCACTGGTGACTGTCCACACGAAGGTGGCTTGAAGCGGAATGGTCAGGTGTGGACATTGAAGGAAGATAGGTGCTCTGTTTGTTCCTGTAAGGTGAGTTCCACAAGTCCTGCGTTTGTGTTTTCTTAGATTTTTCTAGTGTTTTCTCTCTGTGAAGAAGCTGAGCTTTAATTCTTATACACTTTTGCGGAAGCTAGTCATAACCAAAGTAAATCTACTTCAGAACTAAGGTTTATACTGATTAAGTCAAAACAGGATTGCTACTGAACCAGACCTCTAGGAAACTTAGGTTAAAAGGTATTGGGCCTGATTCTCTTCACTTACATTGGTCTAAGAGAGGAGTAACTCCACTGAAGTCAGTGGAGTTACACAAATGTAAATCTGGTTTTAGAGAGACATTCAGAACCAGATTCATATCTTAGTTATACCTGTATAAATCTATGTCCCAAACCCACTCCATTGAAGTCAATGGACACGATCCTATTGGCTACAGTAGGAATAGGACTGAGCCCTTGTATAGGTATAGGTGAGATGAGAATATGGCCTACTGGAAATATGTTGGAAGGGGGGGGTAGAAATGGAATATTGCTCCAGCTGGTGAGGGTCTGTGTGCCAATTAAGGTCTGTTTGTTGGAAGTTATAAGGAGGCTTTTAACTCCCATAAAACTAGAATAGCACAGTGGCGGATCAGGCCATCAGAATCAATACAACACTCAGAATTCACTGCTATTTGTTTTAGGTTAGAATGGAAACATGGTCAGATTAATACCGTACTGTGTTATTACTTCTAGCATTGCCAGACACCATACAAATCCCTCCCTTCAGGAGTGGAAGTCTGCAACTCTGTTGAATATATAGTGAGCTTGTATTGTAATCGTAGAGAATGTCTGGTTCTATGAAAGGATTTCCTGTCAATGGAATGAACAGCTTAATATATGTGAAGACATCTGGTCTGCCTTTGTAGAGTTTTAACGAATCTTAGTTAGTCTTGTAATTTATGCCTTATTTGTCATGTTCTCATTGTGACTATTTCTTATGCCAAGTTCCTCTTATTAGTATTTGAAAATATGTGATGTGACCAGCTAGTAGATAGTGGCATATTATGTTGCATCCGAAGAAGTGGGTTGTAGCCCACGAAAGCTTATGCTCTAATAAATTTGTTAGTCTCTAAGGTGCCACAAGTACTCCTGTTCTTTTTGCGGATACAGACTAACACGGCTGCTACTCTGAAACCTGTCATATGTAGCCATTGTTCCTCCTTGTTTTATTTTTTTTCTTTATATCTTCCTCTCTCACTCTCATTTCTTTCTTCTTTAATATTTGCACTTTATTTTATTTCAGGATTTGCTTTATTTTCAGGAGCCAAATCCTGGACCCTTGCTCAAAGCCAGCTTAAGGGGGTCTCCTTGGTCCTTCCCTGCTAGTGCACACAGCACCACTTGAAAGGCTCTTTCAGCCCATAGGTTGCAATAGCAGCCACTTTGCTCCCAGTACACCAAGGATTGGTCAGTGAATCTGCAAAATCTCAGACCCACTAGCCACGACTTCACCCATTGACTGCTGCCACAACACTTAGGCAGTGTGGAATCCCTCTGCATGTCCTGCACTTGGGGATCATCCACTCTTACAATCTGGGGGAGTGGGATGAGGGACAGGATAGGGCCAACTATATTATTTCTTTTACTTGTGTCTATCTGAGCTTTGAAAAATGCTACTCACTTGTTTTGTCCAGAGCAAGCAAATTATTGTTTTGTATATATGACTAAAATACCAAAAATCATTAAATAATTTTTAAAAAGGTCAGATGAGTAAATTTTGGCCCTGGCCTGGTACATTTCTATGATACTTTTGCAAGCCTGGTTTGTATGAAAACTAACATAAAATTCTTCATTCAAGAAAAGACATGCTGTTCTTGGTAAAGGCTATGAGAATTATGTCATTGACTTCAATGAACCAGCTTCTAATACCTTATTCCACAAGTAGCCCCATTGACTTGACTTCAGTGGGGCTATTCAAGGAGTAAGGTACGATCCAACATTAATAGTTATATCAGACTCAGAAGCCATTCCTGCTCACCCTGGGCCTGAGGGGATACAGTCTTTTTTTTTTTTTTTTAAGTGAAAGACAAGGGATTACGGTAGCACTTAATCAAACATAATATGGTAGATAATCCTTTGCAACCATATTTGTTCCCATGCATGAGGACAAAATGAATAAAAACATTAAAATTCATAAAGCTTAATAGTTGAATGCAATAATTAACAAAGTAACCTGAAGTAGATTGCTTTGCCTTCTCCAAGTGCATCCCTAAAGTCTTATGAGAATTACTATATAGGACTGGCAGAGACTTGTGTTTTTTAATCCTGGTTTGTTGTTGTTCTAGCATGTTGTTCTAGCAACTTTATCTAGAATAAAGCAGCCTGGCTGGAATTATATATTTCAATTGTTTCTTCATATGCATATACTTCTACTTTCCCTTTAAAGAGAAAGAATATACAATTTTTGCAAGTGAGGAGGACAAGCATAGTCCCAGAAGGGGTGGGATGGAACTCTGCGTGAAAGTGCATCCACTTTAGAGAGTGCAGTGTAGTAGATTACAGGAGGATCTGGATTCTATCCCTGACTCAGATTTAAAGGTCAGAAGGAACCATAGTGATCACCTAATCTGACCACCTGCGCATTGTGGGCCACAGAACCTCACCCACCCACTCCTGTAATAGACCCCTAACCTCTGGCTAAGTTACTGAAGTCCTCAAATCATGATTTAAAGACTTCAAGTTATAGGTAATTCACCATTTACACTAGTTGAAACCTGCAAATGACCCATGCCCCATGCTGCAGAGGAAGGTGAAAAAAAACCCAGGGTGTCTGCCAATCTAACCGGGTGAAAATTCCTTCGCGATACCAAATATGGTGATCAGTTATATCCTCAGCATTTGGGCAAGACCCACCAGCCAGAAACCTGGGAAAGAATTCACTGTAGTAACTCAGAGACCTCCGTACCTAGTGTCCCATCCCCAGTCATTGGAGATATTTGCTGCTAGCAGTCGCAGATCAGCTACATGCCATTATAGGCAGTCTCATCATACCATCCCCTCCATAAACTTATCAAGCTTAGTCTCGCAGCCAGTAAGGTTTTTTGCCCCCTCACTGCTTCCTGTGGAAGGCTGTTCCAGAACTTTACTCTTCTGATGGTTAGAAACCTTAGACTGCGCCACTGTAAGGTCTCTCGTGTAGCTGCTCTATGGCAACAGGAGAGAGCTCTCCCGTTGGCATAATTAAACAACCTCCAATGAGCAGCGGTAGCTATGGCGGCAGGAGAGCTTCTCCCACAGACATAGCACTGTGCACGCTACCATTTACGCTGGAATATTCACGTTCCTGAGCGACATAAATTTTGCTGACAAGTGGTAGTGTAGACATAGCCTAACCTTCTTGATGGCCAGTTTATATCCATTTGTTCTTGGGTCCACATTGGCATTTAACTGAATTAACTCCTCTCCCCCCCGCTCTGATGTATTTAACGAGAGCCATTATATCTTTGGTTAGGCTAAAAAAGCCCAGCTCTTTGATTCTCCTCTTATAAGGTAGATTTTTCCATTCCTCAGATCATCCTAGCAGCCCTTCTCTGCACCTGTTCCAGTCTGAATTATGAATTAATCTTTCTTAAACATGGGAGACCAAAATTGCACACAGTATTCTAGATGAGGTCTCACCAGTGCCTTGTATAATGGTACTAACACTGCCCTGTATCGTAGGATTGCATTAGCCTTTTTCACAGCCGCATCACATTGGCAATTCATAGTCATCCTGTGATCAACCAATACACCCAGGTCTTTCTTCTCCTCTGTCACTTCCAACTGATATGTCCTCAGCTTCTAGTTGTTAATCCCTAAATGCATGACCTTGCACTTTGCACTATTAAATTTCACCTCATTTCTATTACTCCAGTTTTCAAGGTTGTCCAAATCTTCTTGTATATGATATTCTGGTCTTCCTCCATATTGGCAATACCTCCCAATGCTGTGTCATCTGCAAATGTTATTAGCATATTCTAACTTTTTGTGCCAAGGTAAAAATGTTAAATAAGAATGGTCCCAAGACCGATCCCTGAGGAAATCCACTAGTAACCTTCCTCCAACCTGACAGTTCACCTTTCAGTAAGAGTAGACTCTTCCATTGACTGTGTGAGAACCTCAGTCACTTATAAATCATACCATGCCACTGTTTTTACATCTTTAATACTACTACTACTTTACCCCAATTCATTAAAGTTTGTGAAGCACCTAGAGGCTGTTGGGTGGCAAGAACTTTTTAGCATCACATGTATTGATTGAAGCCTTTGTATGCATATATTATTATTATCCCACCAAAAGAAAATAAATGATTTTCTATATCTTCATTTTTACCATTTGTACTTTTATTTGCCAAAGTTATTTTAGAAATAGCAAATTAGAATTCCAAAGAAGTAAGTGGGATGCTGCATCTGAAGAGGCTTTTTGACTTGGAGAGGGTGCCATGATTCTCACCTTGCGTAGACATACCTGTGCTAGCTCTGCTTGAACTAGCATGGTGAAAATAGTAGCATAGCTATAGTAGCTTGGGCAGCAGCAAGAGGTGGCACTCTAAGTACAATCTGCCTGCATCCCATGAGTACATACTTGGAGTGGCTGCCCATGCTACCACATCTACACTACCGTTTTTAGCACAGTAGCTCAATGAAAGCTAGCATGAGTACATGTACTCGAGCTGGGAATCGCTCTCCCAGCTCCAAGTGTAGTTGTAGCCTTTGTGTCATAGCATCGTGGGAATCAAAATGCTTTCTGTAACGCATGAGGCCTAACAAGGTTGCAAACAAAACATGTGATGCTAAAAAGAATGAAGAGGGAAGTAGTGTGGTGTTATTATCAAAGGCTCTCCAGCAGAATCATGAAACATTATCAGTGTTCTGAAATAAATAGAGTGACAGCAATGTAAAAGGTTAGTTATTTCCTAAGGAATGCAGGAGTCATGAGTAGCATAGAACCACCAGCGCTGTTACTAATTAAGAGGGGTAATTTAAAAAATAATCTGAAGGCAAAAGGATGTAATTCTGAACAGGATGGACAGGTTATTGCTAACAGTTTTTAATCAGAACTCCCACATTCAGATGGTGAAATTATTTGTCACTGTGATTACCTCCAAGCCACACAGAGGGCCTGCACATCCCTGAATGTATGGAGCCAGTCATCATGTTGGAATGCTTAGGCAAGATTGCAACTTTACAATCTCCCTGAGTGCGGGGCAGCACATAGGTCAGATAATCATAATTCCTCCTCCTCTGAGACTCGCAGTTCCTTGTCTGTTACTCACTTGCTCTAGGGAGAGAGGAAATGACTTCTCTCCCTTTCCTGAAATAAGAACAGGAGTACTTGTGGCACCTTAGAGACTAACAAATTTATTAGAGCATAAGCTTTCGTGGGCTACAGCCCACTTCTTCGGATGCATATAGAGTGAAACATATTGAGGAGATATATATACACACATACAGAGAGCATGAACAGGTGGGAGTTGTCTTACCAACTCTGAGAGGCCAATTAAGTAAGAGAAAAAAACTTTTGAAGTGATAATCAAGATAGCTCAGTACAGACAGTTTGATAAGAAGTGTGAGAATACTTACAAGGGGAGATAGATTCAATGTTTGTAATGGCTCAGCCATACCCAGTCCTTATTCAATCCTGAGTTGATCGTATCTAGTTTGCATATCAATTCCAGCTCAGCAGTCTCTCGTTGGAGTCTGTTTTTGAAGTTTTTCTGTTGTAAGATAGCCACCCGCAGGTCTGTCATTGAATGACCAGACAGGTTAAAGTGTTCTCCCACTGGTGTTTGAGTATTATGATTCCTGATGTCAGATTTGTGTCCATTAATTCTTTTGCGTCGAGACTGTCCGGTTTGGCCAATGTACATGGCAGAGGGGCATTGGTGGCACATGATGGCATATATCACATTGGTAGATGTGCAGGTGAACGAGCCCCTGATGGTATGGCTGATGTGATTAGGCCCTGTGATGATGTCACTTGAATAGATATGTGGACAGAGTTGGCATCGGGCTTTGTTACAAGGATAGGTTCCTGGGTCAGTGTTTTTGTTCAGTGATGTGTGGTTGCTGGTGAGTATTTACTTTAGGTTGGGGGGTTGTCTGTAAGCGAGGACAGGTCTGTCTCCCAAGATCTGTGAGAGTAAAGGATCATCTTTCAGGATAGGTTGTAGATCTCTGATGATGCGCTGGAGAGGTTTTAGTTGGGGGCTGAAGGTGACAGCTAGTGGTGTTCTGTTATTTTCTTTGTTGGGCCTGTCTTATAGGAGGTGACTTCTGGGTACTCGTCTGGCTCTGTCAATCTGTTTTTTCACTTCAGCAGGTGGGTATTGTAGTTTTAAGAATGCTTGATAGAGATCTTGTAGGTGCTTGTCTCTATCTGAGGGATTGGAGCAAATGCGGTTATATCTTAGAGCTTGGCTGTAGACAATGGATCGTGTGGTGTGTCCTGGATGGAAGCTGGAGGCATGTAGGTAAGTGTAGCGGTCAGTAGGTTTCCGGTATAGGGTGGTATTTATGTGACCATCGCTTATTAGCACAGTAGTGTTTCCTGAAATAGTTTATTCCTTTTGCCACCCTGCATCTAGCTTGCTGCTCTGGCCAGCAAATCTGATTGGGGAATGGAGTCAGAACTCCTCCTGCTTTCCCTAACATTTGCTCTCTGGAATATCAAATGAATTAGACCCTGCTCTCTCTCATACAGGTGGAGTGACAAGCTCAGCAGCAAGCAAGGGAGAGCATTAGTGCTTCATACTACCCTGCATTGCTGAGTAAGGGATGTGACAATCTAGTCCTTTGCACTGTTGGTGGAAAAAACAATTGAGTCCAGCATTTTATAGGTGTTGTGCTCTCTACTTTTCCATGCTTCAGTGATCTGTTTTTTTTTTTTTTTGTTTTTTTGTTACACATAATAAGCAATTTTAATTATTCCTGCAATCAAATGTAATATGCTAATCATTTCAGGAATATTATTGAACACCTGCAGTGTCATTAGCTAAGATGAGCATTATGATTCCTTGCCGCTGGTGTTCTGCGCATTGCTTTGCAGCAAAGTTTGGTTTTGTTTTATTGGATTTTTTTTTTTTTACAAATTAAAACTTATGAATACAGAAAATCTAAGCAACTGCCAACACAACTTAATGTCTTTTTGGCTATTTAGCCTATTCAACCTGCATATGGAAAAATCAATTTTGGCTTATCCCCAATCGTCTTAGTAATCACCCCTTACAATAATTATGGGGGCTGATTTAAGAAATACTCTGATTAGTCAGTTCAGTAATATCACTCTAGGAAAGCTCCTTTTACTTGTAAGCATGATGTGTGAAGGTGGCATTATTAATGGATGTTTGTATTTCTGCTTAGTTCAGGTACAGTCCTACAGCTGTTATTCAGTAACTTAATTCAGAGTAACTTAATGAATTTACTCAGGAATTAAACCAGTGTAACGCAGAGCAGAATCTGGCCCTCATTCCTTACTCAGCCAAGCTTTTCCTTGCCTCCAATTAAAACTTTTTATGAGTAAGAATTGAACAAATCAATAATCTAATTAAAATCAAAAATTTTCAATAGCACTCTTCATTATAAACTAGGATTTCAGTTTCCCATTCTGTATATAGAGTAACAATGTGCACCTATAATGAAGGGTATAATTTATAACACCGTTTATCCCTACAATTTTCATCACTAGAATTAGAATTTTGCACCAAATGGATATGTCCTCTCCATTTTACATTCAGAAGACATTTCCGTGTTTAGTATGAGAATTCTGATTAACAGTATTTATCACACTGTGTGTAAATACTTAGCACCTGAAATAGGAAAATCATATTTTAGGGAATCTGTAGAATAAAAATACATCTTCAATGCATGATTCCAGATTATTATGCGATGTGATATGTTGTGGCCGAGTAGTTTTTGTCTGATAAATGGAAGGTCCAGATTTAGAGTATAACTAGAGATAAATTAAGATTAAGGAATACTTCATGCCACATGATTTTGCTATATTAAGTTCCTTTGACAGTACTGGCTTTCACTGAGTTTTTAATGTAGTGTGTTCCTATTAAATTTATCAGGCCACCTGCACAGTTTCAATTTATATAAAATTTTCTTGACAATCACACAATTATTCAAAAGACAGTGCAAAGGAAACTATTGTTCTGATACGTGCTAGAAAAAGAGGTAAGATTTCATTCATAAAATTACTTCATTCCATCTGAACCTGAGAGGCTGTTCATTTTTTTTTATCTAGTGGGTTAGGAACAAGAGGGGACACAGTAACATTTTTCTCAGCCTCAGAGGATACTGGTTTTAAAAAAAAAAAAAAAAAAACCAAACAAAAAACCTCTACAGATAGCTAAATGTCCACTAGTATCAGTGGGGTGATTTTTACAACAATGGGAGCTAGGGAGGCTCATTTCTTGGAGGATTGGGCCCTATACGAATAACTTCAAATTCCAAATTCCTTAGGTAGTGTGCAGTATCTTCCCTGAAATACCAATACATGCTTTGCTATTTCTGATGACCGTTCCTAGTCATCTGATAGTCTTCTGCTATTTACCACTTGCATGATACCAGTGACAATTTGTTCTCTACAGAACGGGAAGATATTCTGCCGGCGAACAGCTTGTGATTGTCAGAACCCCAGCGTTGATCTCTTTTGCTGCCCAGAGTGTGACACACGAGTGACCAGTCAATGTTTAGACCAAAATGGTCATAAGCTGTATCGTAGTGGGGACAACTGGACCTACGGCTGTCAGCAGTGCCGTTGTCTGGTATGGAAATAAATTAAACATTTTCGAGAGAAACAAAAGTAGTAAAGATTTTGATTATAGCAACATACTTTATATTATGACATTATTAACCCTATCGTCTCCTCCCTTCCGCTATTTGACATATTAAAGTGATTTTAGTCAGAAGCAAGGTCAGTCAGAATACTGGCAGACCACTTCTCAGCTCTGTGTAAATAGACCTGGACAACAAACAAACAAATTTCACAGAAAGCTTGAAAATTTTGAAACTGTTTCCATTTTGTTTTGTGTAAAAAAAATTGATGCTTTTCTCAATTGCAGAATTTATATTGGGATTTTTTCATTTTGAAGTTGATGGCTTTTGATGGGGTCTAAATTAGCTGTTACCGCTCAAGAAAGAGATCTCGAAAGGGATAGATAACAAGACAGAAAATATCATAATGCCTCTCTATAAATCCATGGTATACTCACATCTTGAATACTGTGTGCTGATCTGGTCGCCCTAACTCAAAAAAAGATGTATTGGAGTTTGAAAAGGTATAGAGAAGGGCAACAAAAATTATTAGGAGTATGGAACAGCTTCCATATGAGGAGAGATTAAAAAGACCAGGATTTTTCAGCTTGGAAAGGAGATGACAAAGGGGTGAGATGATAGAAGTCTCTAAAATCTTGACTGGTGTGGAGAAAGTAAGTATTATTTACTCCTTCACTTAACACAAGAACTAGGGGTCACCCAATGAAATTAATAGGCAACAGGTTTAAAAACAAATGAAAGGAAGCACTTCTTGACACAACACACAGTCAACCCGTGGAACTCTTTGCCAGAAGACCAAAAGTATAACTGTGTTTAAAAAAAGAATTATTTAAGTTCATAGAGGATAGTCCATCAATGGCTATTAGGTAAGATGGTCAGGGATGCAACCTTATACTCTGGGTTACCCTAAACCTGTGGCTGCCAGAAGCTGGGCGTGGACAACGGGGGATAGATTACTTGATGATTGCCCTATTCTGTTCATTCCCTCTGAAGCACCAGGCATTGGCCACTGTCGGGAGACAGGAACTGGGCCAGATGGACCTTTGGTGTGACCCAGTATGGCCGTTCTTATGTAAAATATTTGATTTTGAAAAAAATCCAACCACCTGACTGCTCTTCCCTATCAAAACTGGCAGTGCAGAAATAAAAAAAAACAAGTCCTACAAACTACCATTGAAAAACAACAAAAGAGAATACTGGTGAATAGTGACCTAATGCAAAAGGGAAGGATGAAGAAAACTGGAAAAGACTACCCAAACATACATACTAAAAACAAAAAAAGCAGGTTACCCTTTTAATTCCCAATTGCCATAAAAAATAAAAATTATTCCTTCACTTTTTTTAAATCAGTCTAACAATTTTTATTTAAAAAAAGACCATTTTTTTATTTGAAAAATTTGCTCTGCTCTGTATAGAAGACTGTCTTGGTTTGGAGAACTCAGAATCCTCTGCACATAATGGATTGAGTTATAACATACAGAGTTTTGTCCTGTAAACTGAATCACCAGTGCTTTGTTGGAGTACTGCAAACCCTTTACTTCAGGTTTTGAGGTTTTGAGTTTACTTTCCTGATCTTTTTTTAAATGCTTGCATAAGGAAAGAAAAGGGAAGAGATTTTCAGGTACATATTTAATTATATTTCCAAGGTATGCACAACTCAGTTGCAGTATCTTGTTTTCAGAAAGATTCCTGGTTTTACCTAATTTCATAGCTGGGATAACAGTCGTAAAAAGGCCAAGAGATTGAAGGTAATGCACTAAGACAGTGGTATAGCTGAGATTTGGAGCCAATCCTTAATCAAAATAGTTTAGACTTTTGGTTTTTTTGTGCTAAGCAATGCCCAAACGCAGCTTTAACTGCTAGCCTATTTTATTATTTTTTCCATTCAGTTTGTAAAAGGCATGCACAGCCCCAACGGGAATGTACATTTTGTGAAACACTGTTTATTTAACAGACCAAATCTCTAAAGTATGTACTCAAAGTTTTTTTTAATTTTGATTATTTAATTTTCAGTTATGGGAGAATAGAAAAATAACTTTTTTGTTTTAATACTTTCTAGCATTCTTTTTTCTATGGTGTGCTATAAAAATGACTGGAGTTTGAAATCTGGTATGGACACAGTTCTAGTGAGGGCTGCCTCTTCTTGGGGTGAAAAAAATCATTTTCCTTTAACAAAGTAAGGGGATTTTTTAATAAGTTATATAAGACCATCTGCTTCGGGACAAATCCTTTTCTTGACATCTGGCTGCTCAGGTAGCACAAAGCAGCTGAAAGCTGCCTTAACAGAGTGTCCAGCTGTAGAGAATTTCCTGAGTAAAGTAGGCATAGCTGGCTTTGCTTATTGCTTACCCTTTTCTCAGAGTGGTGGTGGGGGGGGTATGGGGCGAGGAGCAGGAGAGGGTGTTCTGAGGTAGGCCGGAATCCCCTGCACTCCATCTGATGCTCTCTGACATGATGGCCCTTGAGCAGCACAAGCAGTCTGATTCAGGGATGGGTATTTTCCGCCTACTGCATACAGCAGGTACATCATTTAAAAACAATCTTGTAACTTTGTTAAATGAAAACGAATTCCTTCACCCCAAGCAAAGGTGCTGCTGACTAGAAATGTGTCCGTACCAGTTTTCAACCTAAAGCCAGTCCTGCCCTCAGGTTCCTTTCACGGGCTTGGGTTTGTCCTTTGGCTGCTCCAAGGATGGGCAGGAGCGGTTGAAAGGTAGTTTCAGAACCAACCTTGCTTCCTGCCAACCTCAGCTTAAATAGTGAGCACCTTTCAGAAACAATGGCTGGAGGGCTAGCCGTAAGTTGAGAGGCCTTTCACGCTGCCTTAAGGATCTCTTAAGTAGTGCATTTTCATACTCAGGCCTGGAGATATTTTCTTTAGCCTGGTAACGAACCTTACTTAGGCAGTTTTTGGCTGACTGGTATATGTTAAAACTATAAATGTACAATTTACTAAGGACATTGATAGGCACCAGACGTTTTTGGTAACTACTGCCTGTTATACAACTAGAGACTTTATTCTCTTTAAAAATAGAAAAAATAATTTAATGAAATATTATGGATTCAGCCAAAAGCACCAAAAAATCAGGAGTTGTGAAAGTTAAGTTTGAATGTGCAAACTTCATCCTGCTCCTATGCAGCTACACACTACCACAGTACTTAAATATGTGAGCGTATGCTGCCATAGGTACATCTGTAAATTTACAGTTATAAAAACAAATTGTACTACACCTCTACCCTGATATAACGCTGTCCTCGGGAGCCAAAAAATCCTACTGCGTTATAGGTTATATCGAACTTGCTTTGATCCGCCGGAGTGCGCAGCCCCGCCCCCCCCAAGCGCTGCTTTACCGTTATATCCGAATTCATGTTATATCAGGACGCGTTATATCGGGGTAGAGGTGTATTTGAGAAATAGTATGTGATCACACTATATTTTAACACCAGGCATGCTATTTAAAGTGCTTATATCATCACACACACGTGTGTGCACACCCTAGTATTTAAAAATTCCAATTGAATAATTACAGCAACCTTATCCCTGTAGCCAGGGGCGGCTCCAGGCACCAAGCGCGTGCCTGGGGCGGCAAGCCACGGGGGGCGGCCTACCGGTCGCCAGGAGGGCAGCAGTCAGGCTGCCTTCGGTGGCATGCCTGCGGGAGGTCCGCCGGTCCCGCAGCTTCAGCGGCGGGTACACCGAAGGTGCGGGACCGGCGGACCCCCCGCAGGCATGCTGCCAAATCCGCATTACCAGCGGACCTCCCGCAGGCGCGCCACTGAAAGCCACCTGACTGCTGTGATTGGGGCGGCAAAATACATAGAGCCGCCCCTGCCTGTAGCAGATTGTTTTAAAGAAAAAATACTTTGTTAAGGGATCCATTTAAGAGTGTATTTGATGTTCCTTTGAAAGTACCAGTACATAGACACGGGGAATGCCCATTGGTGAGTTATGTTAGTTACTAGCTAGAACGAAGTCTTTTGTGAAATGTAACAGCAAAGGGACTGAGCAGGCAGGTACCCAGAGATTGTTGGGTGCTGCACCATCTTCACTTACCAATCTCTTCCATATGCATCTTAGCTTTGGAAATCCTCATGAATTTGCAGGTTTGGGATTACGTACATATCAGAAATGGTAATATTAATTCAAGCAGCATTATAGAGTACTTGTCCCAGAATACCTCAAGACTATTTACATTATACTACAGTGATTCACTCTAAGCATTAGAGACAAGATTTAAGGCCACAGCATCTATGTACTGTCTTTTCATTACTCTAATCAAACACCACTTAAATCCATGAACTGGTGTGATTTCGAGTATAATGCATCATTAAATATGCTTTTTTCATTTGTTTTGATAATTGTAGTTTAATGTTTAGCTACTAATTATATTAAGATATTTGGCAGCATATTTGTTACAAAAATATGAAGTTTGGTAATAAGAGATGTTACTTTTAAAATTTAAAGATTGTAAATTAGCAAAATGCAGGTTAGTAATAATAGTTCAATGCAGAGGATCTCAAAGTGTGATGCCTGGATTCTTTAGCTGGTCAACACAGAGCTGGGTGGTGACAGATTCTGGCTCCTCCTTATTTCCAGCTGTTAAACTGCTTTTAAAGAAGTTAAAAATATATTTAGAATGGGGTTTTCAAGAGTGCCAATCCCTGGTCCAACTGTTCCTTTTGAAATCAATGGTAAAACTTACTTAGACTACAATGGGAATCGAGTTAGGCCAGTGTGGAGCGCTTTTGAAAGTCCCTTCCCGCTTCTGCTAAATATTTTCCTAATGTTACTTGTCTATGTAAGCAATTGCTGTAGCTGCCACAGGGATGTTATGCAACCATGAATGGAAGACTAGATGGTCTGCAAAGCAATAACTATATTGAAGTATGGTCCATACTTTTTCACAGTATTAGTGCCTGAGTTAAAAAAAAAAAATCACTAAGCCAGGAAGTCTATCATGATGAGGAAGCTGCAGATTAGGTTGCTTCATTTAAAAAAACAAAAAAAAAACAAGAAAATTATATTGTACTGTACACAGGAAACATAAGTTTCAATGTCCAATGGTGTGGCATTCAGTCTAATATGATATATATCCCAAACATTAATCTATTATAATTTGATGCAAAAAGGAGCTTTCATTATATCAGAATTTATTTTTTTTCCTCAGTAACTAATGATTGGAAGAAATTTTCATGGGCCTTATTTCTATTTCTACAGGAAGGGGAAGTGGATTGTTGGCCTCTTTTATGCCCAGATCCAAACTGTGAGTACACAGCAATCTCAGAAGGAGAGTGTTGCCCCCGCTGTGTCAGTGATCCCTGTCTGGCTGATCAGATCACTTACGATATCAGAAAAACCTGTGTAGACGGCTATGGAATCACAAGACTCAGTGGCTCCATATGGACAATGGCTGGATCTCCGTGTACAACTTGCAAATGCAAGGTATTATGAGTACATAGTAGTGATTTGTACTGGATCATAAATATAGAGTTGTATTCTACCCCTGGAAGTTCACACACAACTCCCATTGAAGTAAATGAGATTCAAGGGCAGAGAATGTAATCTACAGTATAAAAGTTTTCAATGTATGGTATGCATAGTGGAAACAAAACGTGGTAATTCTATAGTTATTTTCTTGGAAATTTGAGCACAGATATTTAACATCATTCTGCAACTTTAAAATATTCCATCTGAAATCCCTGCAGATATATTTAATATGAATCTAGGATAGCTATTTTAAAAATTGCCAAGTTTTATATTTATTAAAATGTATTTTACAGAATATTTATTAGAAGCTAATACAATAATAAAAATTGCACTGTATATAGAACTGGAGGATTTTAAACCTCCTTTGCCTCTTCTCCAAGACAAACATTTTGAGAGCATGACCAGATAAGGAATCACTCGGACAAACTTAGAGGTGATATGTAGGAAGGAATAATTTACATGTTGGTTTCACAAATGTAAATGACTACACATGGTATAAGATAGTAGCAAATTGGGCCCTTAGTCTGTAGGTTACATTAACTTAGGGTATGTCTACACCCAGCCGCTAGTTCGGCGGCTGGCAATCGAAGTTCTGGGTTCGACTTATCGCGTCTTGTCTGGACGCGATAAGTCGAACCAGGAAGTGCTCGCCGTCAACTGCGGTACTCCAGCTAGACGAGAGGAGTACCACGGAGTCGACGGGGGAGCCTGCCTGCCGCATGTGGACCGAGGTAAGTTCGAACTAAGGTACTTCGAACTTCAGCTACGTTATTCACGTAGCTGAAGTTGCGTACCTTAGTTCGATTTGGGGGTTTAGTGTAGACCAAGCCTTAGAGTCCCTTACATCTCTTCTCTGTTCATTCCCTTAGCACTTCTTAATTTCCTCACAATTATAAGTCGGGGCAGGGGGGGAAGGAACATTCTTACAGTAAAAACAGAAAATACTATTTTCATGAGATTTCCAGTCTAATTTTGAAATGTAAGAAGCTTCACGTAATCAAAGCAGAACAGTAAGGTTCTGCCTTCATTATATGCAATATAGTGAAAAATCAATGTGGAATGATACTGTTTCTAAACACTATAAAGCTAGATCAATGCTCATGGGAGTCTTTCCATTGATTTCAGTGTGGTTTGGATCAGGCCCTTATATGAGTGGGGAATTGAGGGAATACACTGTATTTGTAATCAGTGTGTTGCAAACAGGCATAATCATTAGATAAATCACACCCATTTGGGATGCTGAAACTAAAATCTTGGTCCTTGAACTTCAAAAATCTATCATTTGAATGGAGGGACAGCTTGCTTAATTCTCTGTGTAGGTCATAGAATCATAGGACTGGAAGGGACCTCAAGAGGTCATCTAGTCCAGTCCCCTGCACTCATGGCAGGACTAAGTATTAAGTACTAAGATAACCCACTAAAAGGCAGCATCACACATACATAAACTAGGGAAAGCAAATAATGGAAATGTGGTCTAGATGAAAATTCTATAAAGTGAGTATGGTCTTTCAACCAGTTTTGCAATCAAAGAGTAGTTATCAATGAGTCGCTGTCAAACTGGGAGCATGTATATACTGCAGAGTTCTGCAGAGGTCTGTCTTGGGTCTGGTACTCTTGAATATTTTCATGACTTGGATAATGGAATGGAGTGTATGCTCATAAAATTTGCAGATGAAACCAAGCTGACAGGCATTGCTAGCACTTTGGAGAACAGGATTAGAATTCAAAATGACCTTGGAAAAATTGGAGAATTGGTCTGAAATCAGCAAGATGAAATTAATTAAAGAGAAGTACATTTAGGAAGAAAAAAATCAAATGCACAAGTAGAAAATAGGGAATAACTGGCTAGACAGCAGTACTGTAGAATAGGATCTGGATGGTATAGAGGATAAGACATAGAATATGAGTCAACAATGTGACGCCATTGCTAATATCATTGTGGGGTGTATTAACAGTGGTGTTGTATATAAGACACAGGAGGTAATTGTCCCCCTCTGTTCAGCAATGATGAAGTCTCAGTTGGAGTACTATGTCCAGTTATGGATACCACCTTTTAAGAAAGATGTGAACGAATTGGAGAGAGTCCAAAGGAGAACAACAAAAATGACAAAAGGTTTAAAAAACCTGACCTATGAGAAAAGGTTTAAAAAGCTGGGCATGTTTAAGTCTTGAGAAAGGGGGAACCTGATAAGTCTTCAAATAGTTGAGTGCTGTTATAAAAAGGATCAGGTTTTCTCCATGTCCACTGAAGGAAGAGCCAAGCAGTAATGGGCTTAATTTGCAGCAAGGAAGATTTAGGTTAGATATTAGAAAAGGCTTTCTAGCTATAAGGATAGTTAAGCACTAGAGTAGGCTTGCCAAGGGAGGGTGTGGAATCCCTGTTCGGGATTTTCTAAGGTTAATTGGAGGTTTCTAAGAACAGGTTAGACAAACACCTGTCAGGGATGGGTTGTGTTTGCTTGGTCCTGCCTCAGCACATGGGGCTGGATTAGATGACCTCTCAAGAACCGTTCTACCCCTACGTTTCTATGATAAACACAATTACACACTGTTGAAAAATCCAGGCCTAACCTCATATTCAGCGGCATGTACAAGATTTCCTACAACGTGCGCCTCTTAGTCCAGAGTAAAGCAGAGATCACTTAAGTCTATTCTACAATGAAAAGTTATATTGGCACATCTACGACGACCAGGGGTGTGAAAAAACACACCCCCTAACTGATGCAGCTACGTCAGTGGAACAGGGCTCTGTGAACACAGCTAACTTTGGTCAGGGAGGTAGTGTTCCTACACCAAAGAAAAACCTCTTCTGTCAGTGTGTGTTTACATTGGGCGGTATGCCAGCATATATGTGTGCTCCTACAGTCTCCTTAGTGTAGGCATACCTTTAGAGCAGTTAGTGTTACCTAAGAAGATATTCATTTGTATAAAAACGGGGACTAAATGAACATGGAGCAAAATAGTCCTTTTTTACTGCTATTAAAGCATAGCTTTCTAATAGCATATGGAAGGTGAATTACAATTGTCTGTGCTTTATATCACCCACACAGAGAAGTGCTTTCCATTGATCATTCCTTGATCACTGAAAGTACTGAATGTAGTTTTATGAAACTAAGTGTGTTATATAAAATGCTGTATGAAGTTTTTTCCCCCCTTCCTGTGCCATACTGTAGAACAAGGGTCTCAAACTTAATTTACCTTAGGGCCAGTGTCAGTCCTCAAATCCTCCCAGCAGGCCAGTGTCACTCAGGCCGCCCAGAACCTGCCCCCAAACCCCCCCCCCCCCACCTGCCTAAGGCTCTGGGAGGGAGTTTGGGTTGGGGAGGAGGTCTGGTGTGGGGGATTGGGGTGCAGGCTCTGGGAGGGAGTTTGGGTGCAGAAGGGGTGAGAGGTTGGGTGGGGGAGGGGGTCTGGGATGGAGTTTGGGTGCTGGGTGCAGGCTCTGAGGTGCAGGAGGAGGGGGTGGGGTTGCAGGCTCTGGGAGGGGGACAAGATGGGGGTGGGGAGGGGGTGCGTGTGGGAAGGGGAGAGGGTGTAGGCTCTGGGAGGGAGTTTGGGGGGCGTGTGGGAAGGGGGTAGGGGTGCAGGCTCTGGGAGGGGGTCGGGGGATGCGTTGCTTACCTCGAGCTCCAAGGCGAGGCTGGGGGCCTCCGCGTGCTGCTGCACCCAGACACTGCCCCCGCAACTTCCCATTGGTCGCAGGGGCGCTCAGGGTGGAGGCAGTGCGTGGAGGCACAGCCTTGCCCCACCCTGGGGCCGCAGGGAGTGGCCGGCAGACACATGGAGCAAGCAGGCAGAAGCCGCTCAGCTCTGCTGCGCTGCTGGTGGTGGGCGGGGCTCTGGGCCATTGTAAATTGCCCGGGGGACACATGGCGGGGGGGAGGGAGCACCCAGGGGTGGCAGGCAGGGCCAAGGGAGAGACCCAGCCCCAAAATTGCTGGAGCCCTGCGGATCACATTGGGGAGGTTCTCGGGCCGCAGATGGCTCGCGGGCTGGGAGTTTGAGACCCCTGCTGTAGAAGGAGGTGTAGCTCTTCCTTCTGGGCTTTAATTCACCATGATTAGCTTTCCTGCCCCTTTTTGGTGGCATTTCCCCTGAGGCTTTGTGATGGGTTTAAATGATACTTTTCTATCAGTAAGATTCCTGGGCATTTGACTAGATGCCGCAGACTCAGCTCCATGTCTGGTGGAGTTAAGCTTGGTATGGCATGGGAATTGCTATCACAATTCTCTTCAGCAAATTGAGAGTCTGGACTACTGGCATATGTTCAAATAGGCCGGAAATCTCTTTGTTCAACAGATCTTAGCAGAGCTTATTTTTGACTGGTTTCAGAGTAGCAGCCGTGTTAGTCTGTATCCGCAAAAAGAACAGGAGTACTCGTGGCACCTTAGAGACTAACATTTATTTGAGCATAAGCTTTTGTGGGCTACAGCCCACTTCTTTGAATGCATAGAATGGGAGATATATATACACATACAGAGAGCATGAAAAGGTGGGAGTTGTCTTACCAACTCTGAGAGGCCAATTAAGTAAGAGAAAAAAAACTTTTGAAGTGATAATCAAGATAGCCCAGTACAGACAGTTTGATAAGAAGTGTGAGAATACTTACAAGGGGAGATAGATTCAATGTTTGTAATGGCTCAGCCATTCCCAGTCCCTATTTAAGCCTAAATTGATTGTATCTAGTTTGCATATCAATTCCAGCTCAGCAGTTTCTCATTGGAGTCTGTTTTTGAAGCTTTTCTGTTGCAAAATTGCCACCTGCAGGTCTGTCATTGAATGACCAGACAGGTTAAAGTGTTCTCCTACTGGTTTTTGATTTTTATGATTCCTGATGTCAGATTTGTGTCCATTAATTCTTTTGCGTAGAGACTGTCCGGTTTGGCCAATGTACATAGCAGAGGGGCATTGCTGGCACATGATGGCATATATCACATTGGTAGATGTGCAGGTGAACGAGCCCCTGATGGTATGGCTGATGTGATTAGGTCCTATGATGATGTCACTTGAATAGATATGTGGACAGAGTTGGCATCGGGCTTTGTTGCAAGGATAGGTTCCTGGGTTAGTGTTTTTGTTCAGTGATGTGTGGTTGCTGGTGAGTATTTGCTTCAGGTTGGGAGGTTGTCTGTAAGCGAGAACAGGTCTGTCTCCCAAGATCTGTGAGAGTGAGGGATCATCTTTCAGGATAGGGTGTAGATTTTTGATGATGCGCTGGAGAGGTTTTAGTTAGGGGCTGAAGTTGACAGCTAGTGGTGTTCTGTTATTTTCTTTGTTGGGCCTGTCTTGTAGGAGGTGACTCCTGGGTACTCGTCTGGCTCTGTCAATCTGTTTTTTCACTTCAGCAGGTGGGTATTGTAGTTTTAAGAATGCTTGATAGAGATCTTGTAGCTGCTTGTCTCTGTCTGAGGGATTAGAGCAAATGCGGTTGTATCTTAGAGCTTGGCTGTAGACAATGGATCATGTGGTGTGTCCTGGATGGAAGCTGGAGGCATGTAGGTAAGTATAACGGTCAGTAGGTTTCCGGTATAGGGTGGTATTTATGTGACCATCGCTTATTAGCACAGTAGTGTCCAGGAAATGGACCGCTTGTGTGGATTGATCTAGGCTGAGGTTGATGGTGGGATGAAAATTATTGAAATCATGGCAGGGCCTGAGGAGACTGATAATTTGGGAGAAAATAGCAAAATAAAAGATCAACTATTTTATTTTATTCAGGTATTCTCTGCCATTTTAATATTGTTGGGTTTTTTAGAATATATGTTATGCTAATGAAAGGGGACTGGATGGCTCCAGGCATTTGTAATGAGGACTATTGAGCCTTTCACACATACGTTTCTGGTTTAAGCGCAATTCAGGTCAGATCTGATGCAGAATCATTACAATCTGACCAATGGGAAATGAGTTGGCGATTTCAGTCAGGTATATAACGGAAAAAGATGCCACATCATACGAAAAATCACCATAACTATCTCCTTTGAGAAATCTCAGCAAAAAGGCCATGGCCTGAATGGGCATGGCAACTGTACTAACTGCTATGGGGGCCAAAATCACACATTCCTTTCTGTGTCCTGTGAATATATATATAGGATACCCATCTCCAGGTCTTATAAGCCCCATGTTTTCTGTTTTTTAACATTGTGGATAAGTAACACTGATTTGTTTGTTGTACAGAATGGGAATGTCTGCTGTTCTGTGGATTTAGACTGTCTTCACAATAACTGAAGCATTAAGATTGGACTCTTCTCTGTGAGGAAAACTGATGCAGTTAACATCTTAAATGAAGTTGTAAGAGTTGATGTTTTATACAACAGACAATTACCAAAGTCTCCACCTGAGGAAGATGTTTGGGAGTTGCCTTTGGGACCTACCACTATGCTATCCTTGTCTGGGTGACTTTACAGTACAAAGCATATAAGTCTATAGTTGTTAAAAAAGTTTTCAGTGTTGTAAATTATACACTTTTCCTGTCAAATCATTTACAAATACCTTTAAATTATTTCATGGGTAAACTAATGATGTAATTTTGGTTTAATTTGTGTATTGACAACATGATTGAAACTCAGATTATTTTACTTTGGATCTAGATTCTACAACTAAGGCTGCCTGTTGTGATTTTGTCCCATAATACTGCATACTTAGTTCTGAGGTCCCTGTCAGATGTATTTATGAAAATATGTATGTATGTACAGTCAAATTGCATAATACTTATATTTCATAGCTGTCACACATTGTAAAACATTCCAAAGTACATTTGACTTGTACAGGCTGGGAGTAATCGAACCTAAGTCTACCTTTAAAAAAAACCAAAACACACAAACACATTTTCTTTTCCAAACATACGAACTAGTAGCAGAATTCCTGTATTGAGTAGTAAAGCACATATCCAGTGCCCTTTCAACACATATCCAGGAAACAATGCCCCTTATTGATATCAGGTTTAGCAGAGTGGTCTAGTTTGCAAGTGACACTGCAAATACTGGATGTTGGTGGCATTCATCTGGATTGTGAAGCAATCAAAGGGCTTTAAACTTGTATATTTAGAATGGGGTGGGCATGTCCATACTGCAGTTGAACATGCACTGCTGGTCTGTGGCAGCTGATTTGTGGGGCTCAGGCTACTGGGCTATAAAATTGCCATGTAGACATTTGGGCTCGGGCTGGAACCTGGGCTGTGGGACCCTCCCCACCTTATGGGGGATCCCAGAGCTCAAGCTCCAGCCCAACCCTGAACATCCACACTGTAGTTTTGCAGCCCGAGGCAACTGACCCAGGCCAGGTGTAGATGTTTAATTGCTGTGTAAAAACTTACCTAGTTCCACCAGTGTAGATGAGTTCACCATCTCTCCCAGTGTACTTGCTTTCCTATAATGAAACCTACCATTCATAACAGGCTGAACCATTGTAGAGATGACAAGAATGGTGTAAATGACAATTACATTTAGCCTGAATTTCAGCAGGCAGCGTGCTAGCCCTGGGAGATTGGAGACATTCTATGCTACAATTTTTATTACATGTAACATATTCAAGAAGCAATCTGGCCCCTTTTTGTATTCTGCTGACATTCAAAAGAACATAATCTATTAAGTTAAAAAGCATTTTATGCATGGTTAAAACCCCAAACCTAGGCAAAAGTCCTAATTAAAACTCGAACAAAAGGTTAGATTTTTGGATGTCATCAAAGGAAGATGTAACTCTTTCTTTGTTTTCATGAGGCTAGAAAGTTTGTAGTACTGGAACAAAAATCTATTTCAAATCTGATGGCATATACACCTTAAATGCCACATTTTCGATGTGCTGTTGTACTCTGTTCTGCTTATTTGTATAGTGTTCTTTGCCTCCCCAACCCCTTTTTCTTTAATTAACTAAACAGCAGGTGTTTGGAAAAAGATTGCAGATATAAGCATAGTGGCTATACTTTGGAAAAGTATACATTTGTGAGTTTTTCATAGCTTTATCCAGGAAATGTGAAATTGATTTATAAGAATGGTGTGTGACTGTATATAATGGAAGAATATTAGAATATTCTTTTAAATAATGTACTTTCATGTTTCCCCTAAGGGGGTTTTGCAAAATGCTATAAAAATTACTTCCAATCATTTAGCTATTTTTAGTCCACTATTCATTATTAGCATTGATAATTTACTTAGGTTTGTTCATGACTGGGATCCAGCTTAAACATACAGTCATTATTTTCTTTAAATGTCCAGTCGTTTCCAGCTTCTCATGTGTTGTTTACATTTGCATTGTTTTAATGATTGTATTATAAGGGAAACAGTTGTGTTTTATATGATACTCAAAGGATGTTTGTAAATCATACTGTCAGTTCATTTTGTAAATCACATTGTAAACCCAAGGGTAATTCAATTGGAGGAGACAGTCAGTGGGCTGGCATACAAAAGGGAATGATTTAAAACTTGTGGGCCTCTAAATAAACTCCTATGTACAGATTGCCTTTCCTTAATCTTATTAACAATATTGTAAAAACCCAAAGATGGTTTTAAAGCCCAAGTTTATTACAAACATTTTTCCTTTCCCAAATGCATTAGCAGAGTAGTAAGTTACTGCTATGGCTACAAAGAAGGATTGTTTGAGATTTAGCAACAGAGCTCTAGGAAATACTTCCATTCACCCTCAAACCAAGCACTGTGTTCTAGGTCCGGTCCATTTGCAAACCTCACCACCTGATGTTCTGTGGATGCATCTGGAGAGTTTGGAAGCCAGCAAGTCTTTCTTCTCTCAAAGTGCCCTTATTTCTCTGGATGCCTTCCGACAGTCCTCTGACTTTCCAGGCATAAGGCAGAGCCCAGTTGAGGAAACTTGAACCTGGGAGGTTCACGTTCTGTGCTCGATGAACCCTCGGGGGTCAGTTAACAACCCCTTGGTGTACTGAATCCTGCAGGCTTGTGTAGCCCTGTTTAGCAAACACTATCTCCTGAGTTCTAAAGATTTACATCTAGGCAGAGAATGGATACTAGGGTTCTCTTATTTATACTGCGTTAACTTGACTATGATGAATAATTCCTTGTGGAGAGAGAGTTACTGGGGACACCAGAATTATGTGAACATAGAAAACCTATAGAGAGAAATATTCATCTCAAACAATAGTGAAGGACCATCAGTTCACTGTTTCATTGTCAAAAGAATGATGAGATTTTGTAATATTTTACTTTAACTACAAAGTCTGGGAAGACATTTTTCACCTAAAAGCCTATTGAGACAATGAAAACTCTTCAGAGACCAGCCTGTGTATTTTCTGAATTTCTCTTCTTCATTTGGAGCATAGTTTTGATGCTAACTTCACTTGGGGCACAATAGGCTCAGATCATTATTCGAGATAGCTGCACAAAAGCAGGATCTTTGCTGCTTAAGGAAACAGGCCTTTTGTCCTTACTAAGGACAAACTCTCACTAGGGCCTTGGCTACACTTGCAGCTGTACAGCGCTGTGAGGTAAACCTGTCTTCGTAGCTGAATAGGGAAAGCGCTGCAGTCTGTCCACACTGACAGCTGACAGCGCAGTGGCGTGGCTACACTTGCACCATTTGCTGCTGTGTTGGGAGCAGTGCATTATGGGCAGCTATCCCAGCATTCATGTGGCTGCAACGTGCTTTTCAAAATGGGGTGGGGGGGTGGAGTGTGACAGGGAGCGTGGGGGGAGAGAGAGTGCTTTTTGGAGCGTGTCAGCATTCTATTTTGCAAGTTCCGAACTCCCGGCCCCCTGCTCATTCATTTACTCACTCAAAGCAAACAGCAAACTTTGCTTTTTCTCTGTGGTACGAGCTTTGAAACCAGCACTTCCTCATTCCTGCAGCCGGTCACAACAATGGAGAGGATTGGCCACTTGACAAGGTGATCAGTACAGCGCTGCAGGTTGATTCCTGGTACACACTCACAGGGAAGAGTCGTAGCCACTCCGCTGTATCTCTTATGCTTCTCGGAGACGTGGAGTACCTGCAGCGGTGTACCCAGGGAGATACAGCGCGGTAAGTGCCCTGCCAGTGTGGACGGGGAGTGAGTTACAGTGCTGGGGGAGGCTTTACAGCGCTGTAACTTGCAAGTGTAGCCAAGGCCTAAAGGTAGTTGTAAGCATTTAGCTGATGATGATGATGATCACGTCTCTCACAAAAAAATTATGGGCTTCAGCTTATCATTTCAAAGGCAGTTAATGAGTTAATGTTGCAAAGGAGTCTGGCTTCATGCATAAGGATTGAGAAGTAAGGGAGCAAGACCAAAGAACAGCAGCAAAAATGCAGAGGAGCTGTTACTAGTAGAACTATGCAAAGTGTGAGAGATGCATTCTCTCAGTGGTTCTCAAACTTTTGTAGTGGTGACTCCTTTCACACAGCAAGCCTCTGAGTGCGACCCCCCCATTATAAAGTAAAAACACAGTTTTTTTTATATTTAACACTATTATAAATGTTGGAGGCAAAGCAGGGTTTGCGGGTGGAGGCTCACAGCTTGTGACCCTAACAACATCATGACCCCCAGTTTGAGAACACCTGCATTATCTAGTGGCCGGAGTACAGGACTGGGACTCAAGAACTCTCATTCTCTACATGGGCTTGGGTAAGTCACTTAATTTTCAGCCTTCGCCTCTGAGTTCAAATGCTGGCTCCTAGAATCATCTCCCGTGCAGCGTAACTCCACTAGTTACACTATATCAGGACCCTCCGCACTCAAAGGGACAATTTTACTCCCCTTATTCAATTCCCCCAATGTTCCTGTGAGGTAGATGTGCAGTGCTTCAAAGATGAAGAGCTAAACATTGTCTCTAAATAAAATGTTTTGCTGTGTTTTCCATTATGAGCGGTCAGTGAATTTACAAGCTTAACGGTAAAACAGTAAAAACATTTGGCTTAATTAGCATTAACTTTCCAATCATATTGTGGCTTCTAAAAAAATTAAATTACAGCTGGATTTCAGTGTAGCAGACAAGTTATATTTCACAAAATGATAGGTAAAACCTCAGGAATAATTCAATAAATGGTAGAGGAAAGGGTGTAAACCATAACTTCTGCTAGACATGAGACGTCTCACATATGTAATGGCACTTCCATAGTCATAATAATTAAGAGCAATCTGTGACACAATTTGATGCAACCTTTTTCCTAAATGTTAGACAATTGTTTCAGGAACACATTCTGCTCTTGGAAAGATAAGGGCCTAATGTTCCTCTTGCTCACATCATGTTTAAACTAGTGCAACTTCAGCTTTATACTGTCACCTATGTCAATCAAGGCTAACTCTACTGGAATGTAAATGGGTCAAGAATAAGGCCCAAACTGTCAGGCACAAAGTATTCTGACTTTTCTCTCACACAAGTGAGCATCAGCAATAACTCATTTAAGTCACTGGAATTACACCAGGGTAAAAGCAATGCCAAACAGACAAGCAAGGCCACATTGCTGCAGAGATCTACTAGTAAAAGACTGAGCTTTCTTTGAACACAGGAAGTAAATGAGTTAACACAGGACGTGTTTGTGTTGCTGTTGGAATCCACCAAGTAATATGTCAACAGTAGTTCTGCTCATGATTATCTTCTTGCATACATCAGCCCAATATAATAGTCAAGAAAAAGAATCTTCAGGCATCCACTCACCCAAAGCATGAAGGCAGCATTTCTGAGATTTTGTGGAGAAGTGATTTTTTTTTTCCTTCCAAAACCATGACTGGTAAATCCATCTGGAACATTTTCAACAGGTTGAAATCAGATTATTCCCCACATGAGTCTCTATCAGGGAACCATTCCAGTAACGTGGGATTGGTGGTGTATAGCAGGCTCATATATGAATAAATTAACAAGAGCCAAATTCTGCTCCCAGTTACCCCTGGGCAACAGTATTGAAGTAAATAGAAATGCATGGGTATAAGCAAGATTAGGGTTTGGCCCTAAATACATACATCATTCTAAAAATCTTTGCTGCTATTTCAAATGCACTATAGCATGAGTACTTATAATTTTAATGAGTGGGGTTCTGGGTGGTCAAGGTTCCTGCATTGGCTGTACCACAGATTTTTTCATCCTATCTTCGTATGTGAGTTGTTTTAGTGTTCTTGAGAGGCAGCCATGGAGTCTCAAATTCTCTTTATGAAGAGAGCAGCA